CATTGTGTGAGCAATGTTTTTTTTTTTTTTTTTAAACTCTTTACACGTATGGCAAGCAGGTGACCAATGCTATCCAGGTTTGAAGAAGCTGAATGTGCTTATGACTGGTATTTGAAATTTTGATGTGTATTGTATTCGCTACTGAATATCAAGAATACATTTTTTCACTCGTATAGAGTAAGTTTAAAATGGGGTCTTTTGCAGAAGCACCCATCCTGTTTAGAGTAATATAACAGATGCTGAATGTTCATATATCAAACAAAGTGCCACCTTTCTGTAGAAAAGAGGTGTCAAAAAGTTTCTTTGTACCTTGAACGCATGTGATTATGTAGTACAAAATGCAGAGTTTGTAAAATTTCTTGAATGTACAGGCAAAAAAATGAATAATTCAAAACATCTCATAAGTTCTACATCCTATTGTCCCTTTCTAACGCAGGCAGAAGATAGGAGTGCACTCCCAATAGAGCTGAATTTGCACAAGTTACACCTCTGGAAATGCCAGATGGTCTATGGTCTACTTTTGAGAGCTGTCACATATGTAAAGATTTGAAAAAAGAAGGACAGCTGAATGAGAGCAGCAGATCATTAAAGAGAGAGTGAGGGTCCCTAGACATCACTTGTGTTTCAAGAAGCATTGTGTCATTCCCATATTAGCGTGCTTTTTTTTTTTTAAAGCCATACACAACTTCTACACAATAAGGAAAAGAATCCACCTAACACCAAACACTTGTGGTTTAATCAGCGAGGCATTTTTATTCTTTATTCAAAAATAAAATCAGGTTTCCTACTTATGGTTTTAATTGTAATTTTACCATAAGATTAAAATCCTATCCATTAAAATTAATCAACACAGTTAAATTTAATGTCTGTTGCGGTATTATATCTAGGGTTTATCTAATCTTGATTTGACTTATTGCACAAATCTGACAAAATGAACCAAAAATTGTTTTCATGGTAAAACACTGAATGAAAAGATAATACATAGCTACCTGACCGTAATACAAGCCACAATAAAAATAATTAGGTGACACTGAAGCCAAAACACTGTGCTCTCAATTTTATTGCAACAGAAATAGATATGATTTTGAGGATGGAAATGTAGATAAATCATTAAGGATGTGTTACACTATCAGTCCAGCCATACCCAGTAATTTGAAGAGTCAATTTTGATCTTAGGAAAAGGTCAAATCTGTCAATTTTGGAACTTGGTGGCAGGTCACTGTTGTCTTTTACACTTTTGCTTTTATTTATTGAGAATGTTTAACTATTAAATAGTAATGCTAAATTTATCTTAAGCTGTGGAATATAGTGAGACAGTTTTGATTCATAAAGTATCTCCCAAGCACTGGTCAATGATATTTTTACTTCACCAAGCTCCTTGATTGCTTGAACTGTTCTTTTTAGAGAAAAACTGACCTACAGCATTGCATGTATTTGGAGAGACTATGGGAAATTACTCTGGAAATGCTACCATGCAGTGTCAGGTTTAACTGTCTTTTTTGGCATCCTTTTAAATGCATATGCATAACTAGCTTAAGGCTCAATAACAGTCATTAGGCTGTCACCCTACCTGATACAAGAAATTACAAGAGCAACAAATTAATCCTTGAACCAAACCATTGTGCACCCACAAGAAATAAATCTCCATTTTTAGATGCCTTAATTGTAGATTTTGGTCATGAGAAGGAATGTATATATATATATATATATATATATATATATATATATATACTAAAGAGGGAAATAACTTCTTCTCTTGTTTCCTTTTCATTCCCACTTAGGAGAAGTATTCTGCTACATTTTATTACCATTATTTTGGACTCCTCAGATAATTTCTTTTTAGACAATCTTTCTCTTTTATTATCACTACAGACTTGAAAAACTATAAGATCATTTCATATATTAGTTTTATAAATCAGGTGTTAATGTTAATGGACTTAATATGAAAAGACAAGTTGTTGAAAATGAATCTTCTTTTTATTGAAGTATGCACACTCCTGAGTGGAATGTTTTGATCTGTCATTTGTGTTCATGAAACATGAAACAAGAATTAAACAATGGTGTGCTAAAAATTTACTCAAATACATACTTTTTGTCAAAAATATTACCAAGCCTTAACTAGTCCCCAGATTATAAATAATCCATTACCTTTGGAAATTAACCAGCATCATGTATAACTGCAAAAGCTTTGCATGAAGCACTTTCTCTATTGGATAGCTTTTCGTGCAATATCTAGTTTCCAAGTCAGAGAGTTTGTAGTGGTCATTTACATTTTATACTTGTTCATAATCATAAACAGACTAAAGGAGCAGCTTAAGATTTTGAAATGACAAGAAACTGAGAAATAGTAAAATTTTCACAACGGATCTTTTGTATTGTTTTTGCTGAAAAGCTATGAGTAAGCTTTGCTTAAGACCTACCAGTTAAATAATCTCATAACTTAACCAACGTAAACATAATAAGTTTTATGGGGTGGGTGGGGTGTCAAGGTTTTCAGCTGCAAAATCCAGAATCCACCTTGGCTAATTTATACAGAAAATATATTTATGAGCAGTACATGTTCACTCAGAGACACACAACCAAGGACTGTGGCCATTCATTCAGTAAGGCTTCTCCCATGGAAATCCCTCTGCTGCACATCAGGCTGCTGGTCTACAAGAAAGCAGACACCGGGAGGGGCAGCCCCACTGCCTAGGCCAATAAATGCCTTTCCACTGACTGCGCTGAGACGCTCCCCAGCAGACAGACGGACACCTTGCACTACTCACGTTCTAAACGCAAACTCTACTTCTGCTTAACATCTAATATGCAATTGAGAATTTAGTTCATAGACCTACCCTAGCTGCAGGGAGCGGGAGGGGACACCCGCATGCCGCCTCACCCACAGCCACCCCTTCTGACCTCTCTGTGCACTTTGTCCCCCCTTGGTGACTTTGGCTGTGCTCTGAGCTCCGGGAAGCCCGTTATTACCTTGGCTGCTTCTCCCCAACCCTACCCTTGGCCAAGTCAAAGACCAGTCAAATTCTGCGAACCTGAGAAAAGGTTTTCTTTATTGTAAAACAAAGCTGTATGATGGTAGTTAACCATCAGACTCTTTTTCATAAGGAGTTCACCAGGAATTACCAGGAATTTACCAAAATTTGTGTTTTCAGAAATACTCAGCAATATAAATGATGAAAATTCATCCTGCTATCTTTATGATCTGTTGTTGAAAGAATTGAATTGGTATGTTTTTCTTAGTGTCATGATATTAAACAGCCTCCTATGTATTTTCACTTTGAAAAGCTTTTCATACATTGGTATTTAATAACTTGGAGTTCATTTGCAGGAGATATATCAACACATGTATGTGCACACACCTTCACAACTGGGAATCTGCTGGTGCATTAGTTATGTCTATGTCTGGTCAAATGTCACACTGCTTTAGTTACTGTCATTTTTTTTATTTGTTTGTTTGTTTTTTGGTTTTTCTCCAGTACCGGGAACCGAACTCACGACCTTGCGCTTGCCAGGCAGGCGCTTTTGCGGCTGAGCTAAATCCCCAGCCCCTACTGTCATTTTATAACAAGGTTACATATCAATATGTCAAATTCTGTCACCCTTCTTTTTTACCTTAAAATTTCCTCTGTGATTCTTGGTTATTCTTCCTTAGTTTTGCATTAGCTTTTCATATGCCATAAACAAGCCAACTGAAAATGTGAATGGGTATTGAATGAATGAAATAAGCTGAAAAAAGTCAACATATTAGCATAATTAATATATTTACCCTCTCCATTTATCTTGGCTTCTTGTATGCTTTTTAGCAATGTTTAGTAACATTTTGCAAAAAAATCTGCTGATTTTTAACTTAGTTTAATTTCAACTACTTACCAGATTTGTTTTGTGGAGACCTTTGTTTTCTTTTTTCTTTCTTTCTTTCTTTCTTTCTTTCTTTCTTTCTTTCTTTCTTTCTTTCTTTCTCTCCTTTTGCTAGATGAAGTGAAATTTTTCTTGTACATTTGTTGATTTCTGTTTGCATTTTGGAATATTATTGATTTTTTCCATGGTTGATCATCTGTAAATCTTTTTTTTTTTTTTTTTTTTGGTTTTTCTCCGGTACCGGGAACCGAACTCATGACCTTGCGCTTGCCAGGCAGGCGCTTTGCCGCTGAGCTAAATCCCCAGCCCTGATCATCTGTAAATCTTGATAAATTCTTAAAGTGGGGGGATTTATAATCTCTTAAACTATCCCAAAATACCGAGATCTGTACACAGCTGAACATTTAGTTTTTTCCTTTCCAGACCTCGGGCCTGTTTTTCCCCTTCCTTCCCTTGTTGCTTTACCAAGACATCGCATGTAAGGTTGCACAAGCAGGGAGAGGGTGCGCATCCTTGCTTGGCCGTGACCCGGTGGGAGCCCTGAAAAGGATGTTTAGTTTGGGTAGCTGTGTTGTGTCAGAATTAAACCATTCTCTTATTTTCCTAACTTTTCAGACATCATTTACATTAAAATATAATTAAAGAATAAATACAGAAAAGATTTTCTTCTGCAGGATTTATAAAAAAGAAAACCATATTCCTCTTTATCACCCAGCTTGAATTAATTGTTTCTTTCATTTAAAAAGAAGTGCCAGCATCATTACTAGGAGTCTTAGGATGTATTGGTGAGTCCACAGCACACAACAGAGGTCTCAGAGCCTAGAGAAATATTCAGCTTTTGCTCAGTAAGCGCTGAATTATGCTTCAGGTTTCTCATTCAGCTATGCTATAAGAACACCAAAGTGCAATTTTTCTGCTCTCTCTTTTGTATCTTTGTACACAGTGACTTCTAATCAGCCAGTTTCGATTTTCTTTTTAGTGACTTTGTTTCCTTCTTCCACTTCCCTTCTCCTCTTCTTTTCCTCTTCCGTTTTAGTATCATGAGCAAAACTCTGAATCTCAGTTACTGAATGTGTTTTCGTTGTTGTGAAATCGCAGTTTCTTTTTTGTAACTGGGTGAACTTTTCTTGTTTTTCCTTTAGCCCAACCTCAGCGTTTGCCCCTGCTGCAGACATCGGCCCAGGAACCCGGGGAGGAGGAAACGGGCAGGGTGAAGAGCGGAGGCCGCGGAAGTCTGAGCAACGCCAATGGAATTCACCACGGGGCCAGGCGAGCCTCTGCAGAGAATCACAAACTCTCAGCTCCTGTTTCTCAAAAGATGCACAGAAAAATTCAGTCCAGCTTATCTGTAAATAACGATATCAGTAAGAAGAGCAAAGTAAATGCTGTCTTTTCCCAAAAGACAGACTCTTCCCCTGAAGGTAAGTGTGAGAGATACACATGTCTTATTTGACCGGGTATGAAATCATATTCACATAATAATTTGATCAAGCAAACAGACAAACAAATTTTGGTAAAATGACACTGAACTTCCCCAAAGGAAAGTACAAAATAGAAAAGGAAGGTTGGGAGCTGACAGCCTGCTTTCGGCTCTTTGTGTTCCGGAGTGAGTGGTTACTGGTATAAATAGAATTGCTCTACCTTTCCAACACTTTGGTGGCATCTATGAGTACGTGAACATTTTCCCCTCCTCACTACAGTATGTTAATCTCTACTGAGGATATGAGGACTTGCTTATATTCTTGCAAATGGGTTCTTAAACATGCAAAGTTCAAATGAGAAAAATGGTTGGGTAATTGTCTAGCTCTTGCCAGATAATCTGTGTTGCTGGCAGATCATCCTTTTCAAAAGTGTGTGCCGCCTCTGCCACGCCCACACCCACCCCTGCCCCTTCCGAGCTCTCTGCGCTTCGTGCCCCTCTTGGTAGCTTTGGCTGTGCCCTCGGAGCTCTGGGAAGCCCGTTATCACCTCTCCACTGCTTCTCCCCCATCGTACCCTTGGCCAAGTTCATGGCCAGTTAAGTCCTGCGAAACTGAGAAAAGGTTTCCTTTATTATAAAGCAAAGCTGTATGATGGGAGTTAACCATCAGACTCTTTCTTATAAGGTTCACTCTATCATATTAAAGAAAAAAATTTCCTGCCGTTATTAAGGTTCCCAGTGTTTTCCAAGATGTCCTTACTTTAATCCTTTGCTCTTCTTCCATTTCCCATTTGTGGGAACATAAAACTTTGTGTGTGTGTGTGTGTGTGTGTGTGTGTGTAAAATCTTACTCCCTTTACCCTTCCGTTTTAATTGTCAAGGAATCTTAAACAAAGGAATTTCTGTGGGCTGTCTCTGTGTGGTTGGCCATGCCCATTCATAGAGATAAATTGAGCTGTAAATAGGAAATTCTATTGAGACTTACCAGTAGCGAGCAGGAGAAAGGATATTACATTCCGGCTACAGGTGTCTCAAACTCAACTGAGGCGAAGTGTTAGGTTGATCAAATGATATGATAATGAATGGTCTGCATGACGCCAGGTCAGTGACACTACTTTCCAAACTAATTAGATTGAAAGGGACATGATTGACATTTTAAAATGAGTTTGACACGTAAGCTGCATGGTCATTTCTGAAGTGTAGGTAGGCTGTTAACTAAACTGGCTCTCCCAGGAGTTGAGAAGGCAATGCAATTTTCTTTAGAAGATCTTCACTTCTAGGTGATTGGGTGACATAGCTGAATACAATTGCAACTTACTTGTTTTATACTTTTGAATTTCCTTATAATGCCCCTAACCTCTTATTTTCCATTTGATATTCGCTTATTTTAGTATTAAAGCATGGTAACATTTGCATATGAATCTGATTCGCTTTCATTGGGCATGTGGAAGTTTTCATTATTGCTTGCTTTTACTAGCACACCTGAATTTATTTCTAATGTAAGAAGACAGCTTCGTAAGTAACATCAGAAGGAGATGGAAAATAGTACTATGTGGTGAAATATAGTTCGCTCTTTCCCTTCCCTTCCCTTTTTCTACCCACTCTTAGTCTCCTGTCCTTTTTCTCTTCTCTGCCATCCCCGTGCCTACCTGTGGCTGACCCCAGAGATCCCCATACAGCGATACCTTGTCAGCTGTCCTTACAACAAAACAACATCTCAGGGGCAGTTGCACGCATGCAGAGTATGAGATAGAGATGAAAAGACCTAATGGCTCTGTATAAAGTCCTACCTGTATCTTCTCTGCTCGCTTACAGAACTTAGCAAATTTTGGGATTCTTTCTTGAATCTAGATTAAAATGTCTTTGTCTTAGTTCATACTTTCCCAGTGGATGGCTTCATGGTGTTTGCTACTATTTAAAGTCTGTGCCTTAATACTTTGTTATTTCTTCTGATTTTTCAGTTTTGAGGTTAAATTTATTCTCTGGCAATGTGCCACGGAAGCCCCCTCTGCCCTGCACAAAAAGCCCAAGCAGACAAACAAGTTCACTGCACTAATAGATGACCAAAGGGAAATATCAGCTAGCCTAGGGACATTATTTATCTGGGCCTGCTATACAATTTAGGGTTTTGATGAGATAGTTTTGGAAGTTAAATTGATATGGAGATTGTGTGATTCTCTTTTTATAACAAGGTTGTTTACTCCTCACGACACAATACTCAGACCCTTGTTATGGGGCCTCTGAAACTTTCGGAGCCTTACAAGGCCATGGCAAGAAGAGTTTTCATGGACTGGAATAGTGTCTTACATCAGGGCCGTCAATGTCGGAACGGTAGGTTTTGAACAGTAGGTCAGAGCAGTAGGTCTTGAACAGGCTTGATTTGTTGTGTGAATAAAAATGGATAGAAAGTCTTTTTTTAAAAAAAAAAAAAAACAGTAATAATGGGAGCATTTAAGCAATGGCTGGATGTTTTTCAGTTTTATGTTTTTCCGTGTCACAGTTTTAAGTCATCATCATTTGTAACTGCTCTCCTGATGGCAAACGAAAACACAAGTCACAAAGTCATACTATTTTGAAAGCCTCCCACGCGGCTCCCTAAGTCCATTTCAGCCACCTGGTTTTTGGGGTCGCATGGTGCTTATGATTGTGACTTTCACAGCATTGGCAACTTCCAGGACATCTTGCTGGTTTGGAGGGCGTAATTCAATGTTCCATTACTTTACAGTGATTCATTAAGAGCACTAAGGGCCCTTGCTGACCAAATGGAGAAAACATTGTGAAAGTGCGGGCCTGTTGTTTGTTTCCAGGTGAGGATTGAAGCGGGTGTAGACCTGAGTCTGGGGACCTGGGAGATACTTTACCTGTGTTAGGACCTGAGTGCTGATGGGCATGTCCTCCCTCAGACTTCCGTGGACTCCTTTTAAACAATGCAGGTTTGAGTTGCCTTGGGTATGTCAGAAGCTCTTCTACCTTCTTCCCTCATGTGGACTCGTCTAATTCTTCCAGAAAGAGCGAACTGAGAGTGATAAAATAGTTTTCTCCAAGAACAAGGTCCTTTACTGTGCATTCCAGTATCTCATCAGAGGTCAACGGTGATGCACTCTGGCTCCGGCCAGGCTTGTCTTAGTGTGCGTTCGCTTGCTAAAAGCTCTTCCTGTGGAAATTTCAAAAACAACTCACACCTGTGCTCTGTGTTTGTTTTTGTTTCCTACTAAATTTTGATTTCCTGAAAATTCTGCCCTGGGTCTGAGGCCTTCTGCTTTTGTTTTCTTTCTATTTTATAGCAGCATCTAGCTGAATGGTTTCACAGAATTTCCCATGAGTTAATAAGTGGTATAATGCTTTATTCTAAGCCACTAAGCCACTGTATCCTGCTCTCTTCTAAAATCAGCATTGGGAAATAAGATACGTGCTCATATTCCCTGAAATATGTTCTTTTCAAAAGTTCTCTTTTTGCAACAGAGGGAAAGATAGTCATGTGGGAAAATATGGCACATCTTACATCTTACTTTACTTTAAAGCTTATTAAATTAGTAGATTTCTACTTGTTTTGTATAATTAAATATTTTCATTCATACTTACATCTTCTGATTGCATCACCCAGGTGGAGAGTTTTAAGACTAAATGTGTAAGATTCTTGACCTTTGAAATAATTTTAGTATAATTTGGTATCATATAATATTCAAATCGCCAAGGGTTTTCATTAGATGCCAGACACTTTCCTTATCATAGAAATGGCAAATCCTGACACGATTTGGGTGTTCCAGTTATAGCTATTGAGTGTAACAATTAAGACCCAACAAAAATATTTGAAAGAAATTGAACAATTTTCAGAAATATTTGGTAGTTAATTTGTACTCCACATTTAATATTGTAGATTTAATCTTCATGAAGAAATACACATCTCACTTTGGCCTTTCATGAACATAATGAGGCAGTGAAGGGCCTTGTGTACATATGGTAATCTGGGTCATCTCAGTTTTAATCACAGAGAGGCAGTGTTGCCTACCGGTTAGAACACAGACTCTGGAATCATTCTGCCGGATTCGCCTATTGGCCTTATTAACATCCAGCAGTTTATCCCCGGACTGGTTACTTAACCTCTTTGTGCTCAGTGTCTTATCTTTCAGATGGGGATATTATTAGTCCCGACTTCATAGGGCTTGATGCAGAAGAATTGAGCTGGTGCTACCTAGGAGGTGGGACACAGGCCGACCCAACCGAAATATTCAATAAGTCTTAGCTCGGTTGATAATCGTCATTATTAAAGAACACAGAGAGTTCAGCAGTGTTTGCTTTCTGTAAAGGCGGTGACTGAGGGGACCTGGAGGACAAGGCGGAGCTGGGTGATGGGCTGGCGGCAGGGGGAGGGGTTCAGGGCTGAGGGAGTCTGTGCAGTAATATAGCGCTCACAGTGCCTTGTTCTTCTAACGATGTGGCCCAAATCCGTGTGCCATCTCTGCGGGGTGCCGTTTGACATCCTCCATATTTGCTTTTGGCAAAGAAAATGTATCGTCTCTCCTGTCCTTCTTCCTTACAGCAGATCCTATAGTATATTGAGAACCTACACTCTGACTGCCTACATCGGATTCTTTTTTGTACCTTCGTAATGAACCATTCTCATAGAAGAGGTTGAATTGATTTTAGACTTAGGAGCTTGGAATGCTACCAAGTTCTCACAGACGCATTTGGGCCACTGGATGATTTTAAGCTAGCCCTTATTTTACTGTTTCTTCTGTTTCTCTTTCTTAGTCTGTGCTTTCAGATTCTGGCCTCCGGGGCTGGGGATTTAGCTCAGCGGCAAAAGCGCCTGGCTGGCAAGCGCAAGGTCGTGAGTTCGGTTCCCGGTACCGGAGAAAAACCAAAAAAAAAAAAAAGAAGTCAGATTCTGGCCTCCGTGGTCTTCTTCCATCTGCGCCTCAGACTTTTCTTTCTCTCCCTTGTGTTCTCTCCCTGCATTCGTGGGGGTGCGGTTTTCCATATGCCCCATTCCGCTCCCCT